ATTGCTATTATTATTGCTATTATTATTATTATTATATGGTTATTATTATTACTATTATTATCATTATCATTATTATTATTATGATCATACAAGAAGAAAACGATATTATACATATGTAATCGAAGTGGAAAAATGATAAAAGCAAAAAAAAGGAACAGAGCAGCTCGTTTCGGCACTTATTTCTATGTATAATACACAACAAGATATCTCAGCAATATACAAATATAAATATATACATATAGATATATATATATAAATATTAACGAACGAAGATAAATAAACGTATACCGGAGGTATATGGAATGCGAATGCGATAGATGCGTATTTGGGTGTGCGTGAGCGCGTATCTGGATAGAGGTGGCTGTGATTATTGCGTGCAAGTTAGAAATGTAAAACAGAAAACATGAGAAAAGAAGACAGTTTACGTGTGTAAGCATTCGTGTGTAAGTGCATTAAAGTTGTCTCTCTCACACACATATACACACTACACACGCATATTTCATACACGTATACATACCTAATAAATAAATAAATTAATGAATATATATAAATATATACGTCTATAACGAGAAGTAATATGAAAGCAAAGTACAATTCTATGTTCAGTTTGGTACTGGTTTAACTAGCGAACGAAACGTATATTAAGAAACGAGTCGTTTAATTGCAATTATTATACGTGTACTAAATTCAACGTAGAATGGTGCTGATAATAAAATATAATATATACTTCGCAAAGTATATTATAATATAAAAGGAGTCTAAGATAGATATTAGCGGGTATGCGTAGTTGAATATAGAAATATAATTGATGTATATTATATACACACAGTGTAAGAGCGGTGTGCTTTCTACGATTGTGGATTATTATATATTCAAACTACGTTACGTGAAATAGATTTTATCATCACATAATGAAAGATTTTTGTTATTCCACGAGTAGCTATTTATTTTTTTATTAATTCGATCTTTTTGCTAAATTTCTTTTGCTTATAGTATATTGCTAGAATAAAACTAGTAAGCTTGCAATAATTCAGTATTGTTAAGTGAATTATTAAATATTTATAAAATAATGAATCTATATGGTGCAATCTTAAGAAATATATTGATTAGATTTTTTTGTTTTGTTTACCAATTAGTGATTGCACTTATTACTATATGTATAAGAGTCTATTGAGTTCATTTTCTTAAAAGTAATTATAAGTAAGATACATTCCACAATCTATAAAGCATGCCTCCTAAAACACAGAAATTGATGTATTAAGAAAAGAAAACATAAATTATACATAAAATGACATGTAGGTTGTACAACAAAAAATCTAAGTACTCAAAGATAATAAAAAGAATATATTACATATAAGAGATGCATATATTTAAAAACAAAATAAAAACATCTGTGCATGAACATATAGATGGAAGAGCCATAGCAAAAAAAGGTATAGATTAAAATAAGTATGAATCTCTCCTGCAAATATATAATAAAATCTCATTAAAGATATGAAATATACAATGCTCCAGTACATATATATTGTATTTATGTATTTACCTTTCTCATTTAGTTGATTTATTTCTAATTCTTTTCAAAGTGATAAAAATAATTTAATTAATGAAAAATTAATTAAAAATATGCATTATTTTTAAATATATTTAGTGTTTTATTCAATATTTGTTCCAATAATACATTTTGTAATTAAATCTAAATATATTTAGTCTTTTCACTTGCTAAGTAGATAATATAATTTAAAATATTTTTTTAATACATTGTATTAATTCTATCCTATCACACGATTTACCATAAAATGTAAATCTAAATATGTTATTAATTCAATATATGGGAATAATCATTTTAGATCAATAGAAAGAAGCATATAAATTACAAAATTTCTACTTTATATATTGATATTGTATGGATAATCATAGTCTTATAAATCTAATATTCTTAACGATAAGAATAGAATACTTTGTTTTAATATTACATATTTTACTAATCACATTAAATATCATATTATAAGAAATTAATTTCAAATAGATTCTATATGTTAAAATTTTTTTGCTTAAATATTTATAATTAATTTTTCAAAATTCTTTTTTTTGAAACATGGCAGTGTAAAGGCAGTAATATTATTTAAATTTTAAAATTCTTTCAAATTTGCTTCAATCATGATTCAATGTACGTATATAGATATATATAGATGTATCAATTTCAAAGTATAATTCTTTAAAAAAAGTATACAAATATTATGAATATATATTTGGTGTAATTAAATAATGAAAAGATTGCTCATATTTAATTATTAAAATCGTTTTGATTAAAAAATATTTTAAAAATATATAAAATGTCAGATATTTATAAATATTTATAAACATTATCTTATTTCTAAATATTAAAAATTCATAAAACTGTAACTATAAATTTGACAATTTAATATATAATTGCAATTATTATATTTATGCCATTTATAATTCAGTTGTCATATGTGATGTTAATGCTTGCACACGAGTAGCATTACAGCTTTTGCATAATACATGATCATCCAAAGGATAGCAGCCGCGTCCCTCAGAATCAGAAGATAAAATCAATCCACAATCTTCACATTTATAGCACTGAATATGAAAACTACGATCTAATGCTACAACACGTACAGTTTCATCTTGACCTGGTTCTGGCATAATTGGTAACTTACAAACGCAACAACGAGGTGCAAATTTTCTATAATATAAAAATATTAATTTAAAATTATAAAATTAATTATTACATTTAATCAATTAAAATATACTTACTTGTGAAAACATTGTATACAATGAATTTGATTTGTAGCATCTACTGTAAATGGTATGCCATCCAAACTTTGTCCACAAACTACACATGTAAAACAGGATGGATGATAAGGTTTTCCAGTGGCTCTTAATATTCTATCAAGTATTGGTCTTGTGCAAACACAACACTTTTCTAAAGTATTTAAATAATCTTCTTCGCAATAAGGTTTGTTCTCAAGTGAATAAAAAGGTTTACCCTGTAGATTAACTTTACAAACATAGCAACAGAAACAATCAATATGAAACACTTTATCCATTGCGGAACAACCGGTTCCTTCGCCTTCAACTTTACGACCACATTGTGCACAAATTCCATATATATCATTATCTTCAGCATTATCTTCCATTCCTTGAACCAATAGATCAGTGAGAACATCCACCTAAATTAAATATAATTTTTGAAAAATAGTTTTTTTATAACAAAAAAGTTAATATATATATATAAAATATTGTATATAATATAATATATAATATATACATATTATACATACTTCCTTAACAGGAGATACTTTTCCCTGAGGTTGGGTAGATGTAGCAGATCCATAACCAGAATACATAGAATAATTACAAGATAATTGTGATGGTGGTCTAGGATTAATTGGTTCATATATAGATTCATATGTAGAACTGGATTGTGAACTTGGACCATAAATATCATTTGGATAATTATCAGATGGAAAATCAGTTTGATAAGTAGCACGTCTTAATTCACTATAACTAGATGATACAGGACTTGGTGGAGGTGGTAATTCTTCTGGTGGTGGTGGAAAAGAACTACCTGGTACACATGGAACATATTCGGAAGATTCTGGTGGTGGTGGTAAATCATCTGTAACATATAATATTTAATATAGGTATTAAACTAATAAAAATAATTTATAAAAAATTATATTTTTCATAACTGACCATTATTATGTGCAGAAGAAATATTACAATATGTGTTTTCTGGTTTAGAATTCCATTGAATATTACTATAAATTATATCTTTTTCAGTTTTAGTTGTTTTATTAATTGGTATAGATATTGGAGGATCTATATTACTATAAACAATATTTCTTGTTGATCTTGAATGATCTTCAATTGGAACTTGAGGAGCTGGCATATTGCTAATATTTGAATAATGATTTTTTTCATCATATCCATATTTTGGCTCAAATTTCTCATTTGATTGATGAATATAGAAATTTTCGTTATTCTGATAATTTTTAGAAATATCTTTTCCATTTGTAGATGAAAAATCATTTTTCTCCATATTTAATAGCACATATGGTGAAGGAGAATTTACATACAAATTTGATGGTTTTTCATTTTGTCCAGAATTATTAAGTACTGTACTATATGATGGCACAGATGCAGCCTTTATAGTATAACTTTGTGGTACCTGAAAAAATCATATTTTATGATTAAATTTTATATAATTAGATTATTTGAAAAAATGTATTCTTGTTAATTTTACCATTAATATTTCCATACAATGATGGAACAGTCATGAAAAAAAAACATGATATTATTAATAATAAAATTATATTTATATAATATACTGACCTGTGGCTGAGATTTTTTTGGTTTTGGAGGTACAGCTGGACCAACTTTCTTTCCAGATTTGATAGTTTTAATACCATCTCCATGATTAATTTGCAAATTTGCGATTTGTTGCTCCAAATTACTAATATTAGACATTTTTCTGCAAGCAATACTAATATATATTTTTAATTTTTTTTCTTTATATTATACGAAATATATGAATTTAATAAAAATCAATATGAAAAAAATTATATAAACAAATATAGATATATTATATTTGTGTTTAAAATAGTATAATATAATTGGTAACGTTATCGCAATAAATTATCAGTTCGATTTTATATTTGTCAAGTAAAACTATATGCTATCTGTGTATCTCTATTACAAAATGGAACTTATACCATTGAAAAAATCATTAATCTTACCTGGTAAGTTAATAAACCGTTATTTTTTTTTGTAAATTTTTTGTATAAAATAATTTTTTCGAAATAAAAATGAAGTAATTTTTAAGAAGTCGTTAGATATGCTCTGCACTTAACCGTGACACGACTGAATGGCTGACTCATAAATCCCTTATCTCGTAGCTTTAAAAATTCCTTTACAATGACTTTTTCTATATATAAATTTAATAACTATAGTTTTCTTTTTCTTTTATAGTATAATATTTGACCAATAATTAAGGTAACATGTTCATTGTTCAAAAAAAAGAAATTATCGATAATTTTGATGTATGTACATATATGAATGGCCTAATTAATAACTCTCTACTTTATGAAAAGATCTGGGCAATTAAAGGACATTTATTTTTAAACAAGTTTCACCACACCTTAAATCATACATCACAATATTGCACATTATTATATAGTT